ACTTCATCCTCTCCCTAAATATGTTAATTCATTTCTTTCTTGGCATTGAGTATGACAAGCCTGAACAAGGAATGATTGTGCATCAAACTAAATATGTTAAAGATTTAATCTCTACCTACAAAATCAATGAGTCTGCAACACCTCCTCTCCCTGCTCAAGTCAAGCTTGTTCTAGTCATGGATGACCCTTTACCAGATGCTACTGTTTATAGACAACTTGTTGGCAAACTTAACTTATTGGTTCATACTAGACCAGATTTGGCGCTTTCTATTCAAAATCTAAGTCAATTCAACAAGACACCCTCTCAAGCTCATTATAATGATGCCTTACATGTCTTGAAATACCTCAAAGGAACCATCTCTCAAGCTTTATACTTCAACAATCAAGCTTTTTTCAAACTAGAAGCCTATTGTGATTCAGATTGAGCCTCATGCCCTATTACCAAAAAAATATGTTAGTGGACATTTCATCACATTTGGAGACGCTCCTATTTCTTCGAAATCGAAGTAGCAAGCCAAAGTATCTTTATCTTCAGCCGAGGTAGAATATAGATCGATGTGACGTGTATTTGCAGAGCTTGCATGGGTAAGCAGTTTGTTTAATGAATTGGGTGTTCTAGATATTAATCTCATTCCTTTAAAATGTGATAATATGGCATCTATCTATATTGGTTCTAATCCTGTATTTCATGAGTGTACAAATCGTATAGAAATAGATTGTCACTTTGTTAGAGAAATGGTTACAGCTGGCCTAATTAAATTTGATCATGTTTCTACAAATGATAAGACAACTTATGTTTTTACTAAACAACTTCATGACACTCATCAAGCTAATGCAAGATCCATGCTTGGTGTTTGTAATTGCCTATAAGCTTGACGATTGGGGGATGGGGTGTTAGACAAGCTAAATGTTAGTTACCCTTAAGAGTAAAATAATCTTTATTTATCAAAAGTAGTTATTACTATTTTGATAGTTAGTTGTGTAATCTCTTTATATATATATATATATATATATATATATATATATATATATATATATATATATATATATACATATATATTCTTTCGTAGCTTGTCTCAATGATTAAGGTGTTGTTTGTTTTTTTTTTCTAAAAAACCACTTCAGACCACTTATTGTTGCACCGCGCAACACACACGCAACACTTGACCTTTCGTAGTTGTTTATTTTCCAGAAGACTTCTGATTTAAAAACTGTTACGCATATGTTGCATGGCGCAAAAATAGACCAACTGCTTCAAACATCTTCACACCTTACTTTAACTTACTGTAGTATCTGCAGACGTTAAACCAAACAACACCTGAATGATAACAAAATTCAGTTGAATCTCTCAAATTTCTCTCTCCCTTTGTGTGTGTGTTATTCATTTCTCTTTCATGCTAACACCACTCCCTCCAGCCTAAGGATTAATGAAATATACAATATATATTTATATTTAAATGTGCTTAAATTTTAATAAAAATACATAATTTTTATTAAAATATCCATATATATATATATATGTGTATATATATATATATATGTATGTATGTATGTATATATATATATATATATATATATATAGAGAGAGAGAGAGAGAGAGAGTGTGTGTGTGTGTGAGAGAGAGAGAGAGGTGAGTTCCGTTGAGATTAAAAATAAAATAGAGATATTGAGATTCAACATCAGCAACATATTTCACATCTGACGCTCTAACATTTATGTATACCGGCGCAACAAGCCTATCATAATCATAACTGATTATATAGCGTCATCCGTTCCTTTCTTCTCCGCCACCATCCCCACCACCACAACTATCACCGTCACCACCACTACCACCATCCCCACCACCACAACTATCACCGTCACCACCACTACCACCATCTCTAACACCAGCCGACTCCACCATTATCACATCCGTCACTTATACTACTGCCACCTCTACCACCACTATCTCTTCTGCCACCAAGTGTCATAATCATATATGATTACTCAATCTATGATCATACATATATGTAAAAACATTTGTAATTATACATATACATATAAACATGTATAATCGTATATGATTATACATCTTTGTCATATAATCATTTATGATTAGATATACCTTGTGGTTGCCGGTACGCTAGAGCGTTAGAGCGACAAATAAGAAATATATGACTGAGGTTGAATCTCAAGATCTCTATTTTCTTATATGGAAATTAAAAGATCAATCATTTATACTTGAAACACTAATTATTTACTAATAGTCAGAAAATATTTAAGCTTAAGAAAAAAAAACACATTTCGTGTTTTTTAGAAAAACTCTGATTTTAGTTAAGCCAAAAAGAAAAACCGAAAAGGGACAGTTTAACACATACATTTAATTTGGTTTGAGAGCTGGTTTTGTGTTTTTGCAAGTAAATACAAGATGGTTTTGATTTTGAAAATGCAAAACTTAGTTTGAAAAAATATCTACAAAACAAGAAAAAAAAAAAAAATCACCATCGTTTGTTCCTTTACCATGTCGCTTCTTTGTTAAGATATTGGTTTTTAATACCACTTTTGTACAAATTAAATTTGATGGTAAATATTATCAGGTCCACGTTTTTGGGAGTTGGATTTACGCTAATAAATTAGCTTTTTTGTCCCTTTTTTTTTTTTTTTTTTTTTGAGGAGGAGCATATGTACAAGTGTACTACAATTTATTGTATGTCCTGTGCAGCCAAGTGGTAGGGTGTCGACAGGGTCTACCTTTCCCCTATAAATTTATATTATTAATCTTTTTAAATTGCCAATCTAGAAGTTAATAATATTATGTTCACATTTTAAGTTAATTGTTATACAGGACAGTGAATTACTTCGATTATTTTGTTGATGTACGATTTTTAAAATAGATTTTTTTTTTTCTCTCCTTTTTGTATGGTAAAAACACATACTTTTGACTAGTAGTTTTGAATGGATGGATTATAATTATAAATATGGTAACAAAATCTATAAAAATATATCTTTAAAAATATGATTTAGTTGAGAGATGAGAAATCTGTAACTTTCATGAACATAAACCTACAGATATTTTAGACCCAGTTAGATATATCCAGCCTTGTTCATGAAGCAGCCTCATGAATGCAACAACTTGAAGGGAGATCTAATAATTCAATAAATGTAAAGTGAATTTATTTTGGGGGCCAGAACATTTCATAAAAATTGAATGTGAAAATAAAGTTCGTGATAGTTTGGATTTTCTATATCGGAGAAGTGGGGAAGATGCCAAGCAAAAAATAAACTAAGTTCATGTGTAGAAGTAAGCTTCATTATGTTTTTTTTCTTTCCTAATTTGGTTGATTTTGTTTAAATAGTAATGGATGGTAATCCATCATTTTCCGTTCTTACTTATAAGTTATAACATAATCGAAAGTTCAAATATTCATACATATATATACATGTAATCTATTGGGTTTTTATGTTTTGGATGTGGAATTTGTTGTCTTTTTGTCGCATCTTGAGTTCGTCAAATCATTTCAAATGATAGCTCTAAAGATTACTTTGATATATTGGTGTAAATAACTTATAAGAATAAATAAGTTAAACGATATTTAACAAGTATCCTACAAATCTAATAAGAAAAATGGTTCATGAAATACACGTTGTTTGTACAGGAACATATGTACACTACAAAAGTAATGTGCATAACTTGGGGCGACTTTGATTTGTAAGAATTCAGTGGGATAAGATGGAATGGAGTTCAATATCATTCCTTTTAACACAAATTTCATGTCAAGTTTGATTTAAATATCTCAAGAAATCAAATTACGCCTCTTGAAGAAATTTGGCATTTAGGGTATTTGATAATTGATTATTAAAAACTGTTCCCGTATAATAATAGAAAAAATACGATGACATATATTATGTACTACGTAGAAAATTGGCTTTCCACAGGACCAGCTTGAAGCAAGTTGGTATATTTGAAAAGAAGCTTCGTGTTCATTTGAAAAATCTTAGACGGTGAAATGTGGCATTAATGTGACACGTAAAATTAATTGTGTGACATTATTTGTTAGAATGACATTGAAGTTAACATATTGATGGTATAGTTAAGATATTGATATATCAACCACAGCATGTGATTCTTATATGAATTTTTGGTTTACATCTTGTCGTTTTCATGATATCTATAAATAAATCTTATGGTTTGTGACATTGTATTAATGTTACTATGTGATAATTATTTTAAGAAATGATAGGAAACACACATATGATAATACCTAATTGAAGGTTAAAAAAATCCAAAGGTGTTCAAGAAGAGGGTAGATAGATGAAGTAATAAGAGTAATAATTTTAGGTACCCAATTCGTCACCAAACTTTTATATATTTACTTTACTTGAATACTTGTCTACCTGGCTTTTAATTTAATTTTGCAAGCTCACCCATTTATCATTTATGAGCAATACCTAAAGTTTATATTTATATACGAACCTTCAACTCCCCCCTCCCACCCTATCCAACCCCATTAATTATGCTCACGTTCTTTTTCCTTCTTTTAGTTTAATAATTAAATGCTTTTCGCTTTGAAAGTCAATAAAACTTTATGTTCAATAATTTAACACGTAAACACTTGATATCTTGTGGACAAATATTCATCAATCAATAAATTAAGATGTTAAGAGTAAAAAAAAAAAAAACTAATGGAAATATTTTAGGCTAAACGAAACATTGGTTTTAATATAAAATTTTAATTCTACTGAAGACATACATAATTTCCTTATATCATTTAACTTATTTCATTTTATATTTTAGCTGTAGGTATTTTTACAAGAGAAAAGAAAATCAAATAAAAGTACAATAATCTTGGAATGTTTCAACCAAACGAATTTAATTCTGTAAAACGACCTATTTAGCTAAATATTTAATAATACAATTTTTATTATTTTTTTAATAAAACTTAAGTTGTTATTTTTTTTCCCCTTCCCGCCAAATTAAAAAACTTATACAATAGTACCCCCAAGATTATGTAGTTTACACTCTACCGCCTTTTGTTCTTGCTTCCGATCAACAAGCAGAAGTAGAACAAGATTCGGAAGAAGAAGCCCCATGCGATGGTGATCCAGAGGCAATCCAACTTGGTCAGATCATTGACGCCTTGCTGCTTCAGTATGTCGGCACCGGTGGTCAGACATGTTCCGGCGGTGATGTTCACCCCTAATGTTTGGCTCATGCTTTGTAACAGCCTCAATTTGGTGTCTTCATCGGCTATGCCAAGAGGGCTGCCGTCGAAGATCTGAGTTCCTCGAACGAAACATCTCAATGGGTCTTGGAATTCGTTGTGTAAAACTGCTTCGTATGGGTATTTGACCAAAGAAATATAGTGAAACCATATCCAGTAATCGGGAATTCGATCACGATTGATGAAGAAGCCGCTGAACAGGAGGTAGTAAGCGAGAATTGCGACGACAATCACGTACCCGATCATAACATGTGGGATAACGCCGGAGAGAAATGTCACGAAAGAGCTTCCGGCCCAAAAAGAGGCCAAGATTATGGCGAAGTAGAACAAGAAGCCTTTACCTCCGCCGGCGAGTCCGACAGCCCAAAATGTGATTACTGCGAATGCCAAGGAGAGGATAATGAGAGTTGGGATCGCTACGAGTGAAGAAGAGAGGACGTAGGAAGAACGTCTGTAAGCATTGTAAGCGGTTTCTCTCATGAAAATGAAACGTTCATGGAGGAAAACAGGTAATGCGTCTGCACAAGTGTAGAAGGTTGTCGACATGGCAAAAGCGAAGAATCCGAGTCGTTCACGAACGCCTCTCGGGGAATCATCCAGCTTCCAAAACACGGTGGCGAGTATAAAACCAGTCACCACAACTGCACCCAACCTGGTAATGAATAGCTCCGGCGTTCTCCATTGATTTTTGAAAGCCCGCCTTGACAAAACCATCATCTCCGTCCATATTGGATTGGCAAAGGTAGGGACCATGGATTTTCTGTTAGGGTCGCTGGTGGCTCCGGAGACTAATTTGCCGCGTGATATACTCGCACTTATCGCTTCTGTAAGCGATAAGCCATGTGTCGGAGTTTCGTTGCCGGTGGTTTGGGTGTGTCGGGATCGCTTCAGGAGTTGCCATGATTTGTTGAATTCGACTAGGCTTTTTGTTCCTCCAGGAGAACCTTCGAGATCTCTGATCAGATCGAGGGCAAATTCCGTACGATTTTCTTTCTCCGGGATTGGATGGCCAAAATCGGCGAAGAAGGAAAGGAGATTTGCCGGCGAGCCACTGTAAACGGTCTGTCCACGAGACAGAAACAATAGCCGGTCAAGTAACCCGAGAAGCCGGTAACTTGGCTGGTGTACGGACATTATGACGATGCTTCCAGTTTGTGCAATACGTTGCAGCACCTTCACTACCATGTAAGCACTGGTGGAGTCGAGGCCGGACGTTGGCTCATCCAGAAACAGGAGAATAGGATCGTGAATGATATCAGCACCGATGGAAACACGTCGTCGTTCTCCGCCTGAGACTCCTCTGTGTCCTTCGTCACCGATGATTGTTTTGGCGGCGTTTCGGAGCCCTAACTGATCGATTAGGGCTTGAACTCTCAGCTTCTTCTTTGTTTTTGATAGCGACCGAGGGAGGCGGAACTCGGCAGCGTACATCAACGTTTCTTCCACGGTTAACATCGGAAATAACAGATCGTCTTGCATGACATAAGCTGAGATCACCTTTAGCAATCTGGATTCTAATTGATCTCCATTCAAAGTTATGTTACCTTTCAAACTTCCTTTGGAGATTCGATTCGCCAAAGCATCAATCAACGTAGATTTCCCAGATCCACTAGCTCCAAGCACCGCCAGTATCTCGCCGTCCCTCGCTTGACCAGAAATTTCATTCAACAAAATCTTGCTCCTCGAAACCAGCTTCTCTCCTCCAACTGGTTCCGCCGCCATCGCCGGAAGAGCGGCAGGCCTATTCCGACCTCCGAGAACAGCCGGAATCCCGAATTTGTTCCGTACCTTCACGCTATAGGTCAGATTACTGAAGGCCAAAACAAACGGCAACGGCTGAGGCTCGTTGTTCATCTGGTTCATTTCCAAAACACGATGACCTGACGTCTCATCACCATTTACTTCATTAACATACTTCAAAAGCTCCCCAAGAGTCGGAGAGGCCGGCGCTAACCCGGACGTCTCCGGAATGTCCTCCACCCCTATACGAGCAGACATCTTTCCACCGGAAATTACACGCGAATAATGCTAACACCAACGTAGATTTTTATATGTGCATAAATAGAATACAGACAGTATCATATATAAACCATCCGTTGATGCTGATTCTTTCCTGCGAAACGTCGTCGTTATTCTACAACAGATGATATATCGGTCTAAAAGAGCAAAAATTATACCTTCTGCTTATTAAAACACTCTCAATGCATCATTGAAGGTGAACTTGTTTGTATATATATACACATATATAAATAGATGGACAAAACCTATTAATAGCGTGTGTATATATATATATATATATATATATATATATATATTATATATATATATATATATATATATATATATATATATATATATATATATATATATATATATATATATATATATATATATATATACACACACACACGAAAGAACCAAATTTTTTTTTTCAAGTTCTACAGTTTATTTTTTATCGAAAAAAAACTAAAAGTATCTAAATTCATAACTTAACATTGCAAATGTTACATATATTTTTCGGATTCACCGTGTGAATTTAGATTCACATTGTCAGTATTAAAATATTCATATTGTGAATTATACGAAAGAAATTTTTTTTATCGAATTTCATATTATTGGAAAAATGATAAAAAGTTATGAATTTCTATATTGTTAGTTTTTTTTTTTATAAAAAATAAGTTCTAAACGTTGACAAAAATATTGGTTCCTTAGTTAATTATGATTCTCTATTGAATATCACTATATATATATATATATATATATATATATATATATATATATATATATATATATATATATATATATATATATATATATATATATATATATATAGAGAGAGAGAGAGAGAGAGAGAAAGAGAAAGAGAGAAAGAGAGTGTGTGAGGTTTAAAAGAGAACCATAATTAACAAGGAACAAATCGTGACGTCGGAAATAATAATGATCAACGGTCAAAAAAATATATGTGCACTTGTACATTGGACGCACACACACCGGATTATACCACAAAATTCACCTCCTTACCAAGAAAAACACATCTTTTTTTCGTTTTAAATATTTTTTAGGCAGCATTTTTTTATCGAAAAAAAACGAATTTACCGTTGTTCTCTATTTTTTGTTATCCTTCCATGGAGATCGATGTTAATATAAAAAACGAACTTTTTTTTTTCGTAAAAACCCACTTCATTTTATTAGTTTTTTCAATATTTAAGTTTATTTTTATAAAAAAAACTAATTATACCAAAAAAAATTGTACTCTATTAATAAACATTAACACCGACCAAACAAAATCTCGATTAGTGTCGATTCATACTGTGAATCTAAACTGTAAATATTTCAATTTTTAACATTCACAATGTGAAAAGGTTTGATCAGTTCAGATTCACATTGTGAATCTGACTTACTATTAAGTACACTGTAAATCTGAGAAGGTTGACAATGTGAATAAAACGCTATCAATTACTAGCTTCTTGGTAACCTTGTGATTTTCCCTGATCCAAGCGTGAGTCCTGTGCTTCCGGTAGTATATGCATCTACTACCTTTCACACCTACTCATACTCGTCCCAAGTATTGTCTCGCAGTTTTCCAAGTCCTAAAATCACAAAACAATTTTACACATATGAGTGTGTCCAGATAATCATAAAAATTTCCCGTAGACTCTACTAGGACTTCTTCTATGCGTATCTTCAATTGTTAATTCTGCTTCAACTCGGTTGGTAGTGGAAATTCCAGATGATAGGAAAAATTTAAGAATTACACCAATCGTTCTATCATACCGTCAATCGAATGTGTACATTCAGATGTACCGTACTTCTCTAGACGTACTGCTATTTTATTAGACGTATTCTAAAGGCAAGATACCTCTTATGATATTTTCCGATAGGTATCATTCACTGTCGTAAGCCATCTCATTTCCTCTATTTTCTCAGTCTATCATGGTTCGCATCACTTCCTGAACTTCTGCAATTGTGATAGGTTCGGGTGCAGGCACAACGACCGATGCATGACCCATCACATTCTTAGGCTCAGGTTGTCATCTTCCTCAGATATTTCCTAATATGTCTTCACCATGACGTTTTGTACACCCAAGCATACGTTCGGTGTACCGAGGTGAGAATTTTAAGATAGGAAAGATTTTAATTACGATAGACGTATAGATCTCCTTGTCACACCGAGAAGTTATATGCCCGTTCTAATACTGTAATCAAACGTTTAGAAATCTGAACATATAAAATTTCCAGATCCGGTCGGCAACAGACCATAGATCCAAACAAATAATATCATGTAAGGCATCTTTATAACTATAACATAAAACATTTTAGGCATCTTTCCTAAAATAAACCAGTGCTCACACCTCACAATTATCGTTTAGCATTGTAAGTTTAAGTCTAGAAATTTCCTACAAATTCCTAGTTCGCTTAAACTAATGCTCTGATACCAACTGTGACATCCCCATTTTCTTGGCCAGAAAAGACCGATTTTGTTTATGCTTTATAAAAATCAGAGTTCTTCTTTTAATAAAAATGTTGCGGAATTTGTTCCCAGAAAAACACGATAAATACGTTATGAAAACATTTTCGAAGAAACGTATTTTATTCATTTTAAAACATTTGGGATGTCATCGTTAATACAGAAACATAAGCATAAACAAAACTTACATTTATTTACACTAGTGATCTACATCTCTTTAAATCCCTCAGTGTAATGTGACTTCATATCAACACCATAGTTTGATTATTTTGTCTTCGGCATGTACTTTCTTTTGTAACATAACATTTTTGTAGAGGAAACATATCACTGAAAGAATTTACACGCCCCGCCGCTTTGCTCGGGTACACTGCTAATGTGTGTGTGTGTGTATATATATATATATACGCGCACACACACACACACAGAGTGAAATGATAGTTCAAATAAAAATAGTAAATAGTGTAAAAACATAAAAATACTAATTTTATATTATTTTTCTGCAATGAATTCTATATCATCAACTTTATGTCATTATTCAATAATAAATAGATAAATATTTACACGTTAAAACTAATATTAAAATTTACCACAATAATGCGCATGTACAAAAGTTATAATAAAATAATATTATTCTAATGAATATATGAATAATAAGATATTAATATTCACATTAGAATTACTTCAATAATACACATATGCATCATTCATTGTAGAATAGTAATATAAATATTGTATTGTTATCGTTTTTACATTGTTTAGTGTTTTTTTAACTTATATATATATATATATATATATATATATATATATATATATATATATATATATATATATATATATATATATATATATATAGGGAAGGGTTATATGGAAAATAAAAAACCCTAAAAAACCCAAAAAATCATAAAAATGCATAAAACAAAATACTTAGACATCATTTTTTTTATTCTATATTCTTAAAAATCGTAGCTTTTTTTATAAAATAAAAAAAAGGATTTGTGATCTCTAAATACTTTTTTATGTATTTTTATGATTTTTAGGGTTTTTTGTTTTCCATAGAACCAAAACACACACACACACACACACACACACATATATATATATATATATATATATATATATATATATATATATATATATATATATATTGAGAGAGAGAGAGAGAGAGTAGGGTTCAATTGAGAAAAAAAAAAGATTGAGAATGAGAGAATCATTCTCAACCAATCATTTAATCTAAACATAAAAAGACACGATGACAAACTTGTAAATATGATAATAAGTTAATAACCTTTAATCTCAAATACGTAACTGTAGAGAATTAGATAACAGTTCAAATGTAACACTCTATTTATTTATTTATTAAATAAATAATTTAATAAGCAAATAGTAGCCCTAAAATAGATAATTATATGTCAAAGGTTGGTCTCGAGGAGTTAATTGTCACACTCTAGGAGATTGGGGGTTAAAAGTGTAAATCTGAACTTAATTTGTAAGTTTTATAGAAGACAAGGACTAAATGGAAATTATTAGGACTTCATGGAAGAGATTTTGGAGACCTAGGGGCTGTTTGGTAAATCAGGTATTAGATTTGAAGGGGATTTCCGAAGATAGGGTAAAAAAGGTAAAATTTGGGCTTAGTTTGAAAAGATATGAGAAGAGTGGGGCTAATTGTGGCATTATGGAAAAAATGTTTAAGGGTGTCGGGTATATAGAGAATAAACCCTAACCCTATTGACCATCTTATGCAGCCGACCTTATACCTCCCTCCAGCTGCCGTCCTCACCTCCCCATCTTTTATTCCCGGCGTCACCCACCCTTGCCACCGTTGTTAGCCGCCGCTGTCACCTGTCGGAGTATTCTCAGCTGTTACTACCGTCTAACCCCCCTGATGCTCCTCTCGCCACTGAACTCGAGGATGAATCCGTAGGTGCAGCGTCTGTCAGCCGGTTGGGCGGTTGTGGTGTCACTGCCATGGCGAAACCCCGTCTGTTGCCGCCATCCATTGTCACCGTGTTCGTTTCTTCTACCTTCTTCTTTCTTTCTCCGGTGCTACGACCACCAGTACCGCCGCTGATATTCGGGATTGTTTATGTGGGAGTATATTTCTTAGCTGGGAACCAAAAGAACCGCCGCCACCACCAGGAGGTGGTGGCTATTATGGAAAGAGGTTGATATCATCGTCGTGCACCATCAGAAGGGTGGTTGGATGATTGAAGAATGAAGCACATGTGGGTGTTGGTCTCTCTTTGTAAGCAAAACGCATGTTTGTGTGTGTGTTTTCGGTTATAGTGTTTGTTGCGCGTTGGCCAGAAAACCGAGAACAACCAACACCACCACCGTGAGGTGGTGGCTGCCGCCATGTGCTGCCTGTGTGTGTTCATTTTGTTAGTGTGTGTTTATTTTGAGCTTAGCATTGTAATGTGTAAATTGCAAATTGGAATAATGAAAGAAATTGAATACCACCACCTTAGGGTGGTGGCTGCCGCCACCGGCCGCTGTGTCGAGTGGCGGTGTGCTTTGCCTCGTGGTGTTG